CAATCTTGACCCCTGCAATTTGCGGTGCCTCAGGGCTCAAAGCCTTTTGCTGCTGATTGTTAACATCTACCTGAAACCGCTGGGAGAAGCCATCCGTACTATGATACCCAATTACGTACAGGTAGTCTTGGACATCACATTTCATTTGAAGTTAGAACAGCAGTGAAAAGGTGACTTAGGGCTGTTTTTCACACTTACCAGTGTCGCAGCATCCCTATGGTCATGTGGTCAAAATAAGGACGCTTGGATATTGACTCACCTTTTTGACAGTTGCAGTGTCCTGGGGCCATGTGATCACCTTTTGTGACTTAAGTTCGTGCACCAACTGAAAGTCCTCCTGCACTCACGCCTCCTGCTTGAGGCGGCCATGGCTGTGGATGGGCTTTGCACAGATTAATCGGGTGCACCCTTTCCCGGACCGGGAGGTCTTGCACAGTGGCTCACTCATACCTTGGTCACATCCATTGGGATTACTACCCAGGGTCCCCCAGTAACTTCAACTGGTCCAGAACAGAACAGCACACCCAGGAATGGGAGCCCTTAGATTGCCCGTGTAGCATCTTTGTCGTGCGAGCTGCACTGGATTCGTTTTTTTTAAGGTGCAATTGAAGATGATGGTCATCACCTTTAGTTATTTATTATAACAATAGCTCTTAGAATTATATACCACTCACAGTGCTTTAGAGCATTCTCAGTTTACAGTGTCAGAATATTGTCCCCCAAAATAGTTTTACAGATCTCAGAAGGAAGACAGAGACAACCTCGAGCCCCGTCAAGATCGAACTCCAGGCTGTGAGCAGAGTCACCCAGTGTTCTGACCTAGGACGAACAGCACAAAGCCAAGTCCTCGTCCCGATAATTTAATTAATTTACAATAAATTTCCTCTCCAAGAAAGTCCTGGCCAACAGTCTTTCAAGATAGTTCCCAATCACAGACCTTTATCAGGCTTGGAGGATGGCCAGGCCAATATGACAGTAGCTGTTAGGAATATAAATCACTTAACAGGTATTTGGGTTAGAAATATATAAACCAGGATAGACATTTTAGTACTATATCTTTAAGGGAATGCAAGAGCATGCAATTGGGTGTGGTTTCTCAAACAGCCATAAGATGGAGCCAGAAACCTGGGTTGTTTAGTCTTAGTCTCAGAAGAGAGTGTGTCTGAGTGAATATTTCTGTTTCCTTCTGTTGGAAAGTATTGCTGTTGCTCCATTTCTTCTAATTGACTGATATTACTGGATTTAATGTAAGTCTGACACTGAACTGTTTTTGACACTGGAATTTGATATTTGGATTGTCCCTGGATTGAAAACTGACTGATTTAACTTGTGAATGACTTTGGATTGCTTATTTTGGACTTTGCTTAAAACTTTCTGGAAGTAAAAACCTACATTTACTGTACAGTGTATCTGTGTGCTCTGTGTGTATTATTCCAACACTACTCTCTATACGTCTCCCTGTATGCGCTCATTCTCCTAACGGGGAATTCCCTCAACAGTAGCATAATTAAAAATCTGAAAGGGGATAAATAATGGAAGATTATATGATTAATAATATTTTATTTGTAGTAAAAAGAGAGATATTTAGAATATGGAGATTGACACAAAAATAAGGTGCAGAAATGGTGAATGATTAAAGAAAATATATGTATTAATATGAAACTGTCAACTGTATTGAATATGAAGAATACCGTCATATTTGTTTTAAAATGTAAGATACTCTGGTACCACACGGTTCACACAATGATGTTTGTAAAAAAGTATTAAAAAATTATACAAAAAAAGGGGAGAATGGCCAGGCCAATCTCTTTCGGATGACATACTTGGGAAGCATGGCGGAATAAACTCATTGTCTCCTGAAAAGCCCCACTCCCCTTTAGCTCCTATTTAATTTTCTAGGGGAGAGGCCATTCACTTTCCACCGGTTGCTTTACTCCCAAGTTGGCCTTTGTTCCTCAGCTGTTCCCTTCTTCTGGCAACTCTGCGCATACACTGGGAACAGGCTCTAGCTGTTCTTCTGCCTCACTGATGTCTGACTGTTAACTGTAAGACAGCCCTGGCACCATCTCTGCCTCCGACACAGAGCACTTGTCAGACCCTTCTCTATACTCCAGGACTGGCAAATGTTTCTCCCCAACCTCCTCACTGTCCAAATCTGTGGTGAGCTCTGCTGTCCGGAGAAAGCAGCCAGCAATACTGCATTCCAACCACTGACCCCAGGGCACCTGTCACTATTCTCCCACCTTTATTATTCTTGCATCCACCTGTTCTACCAGGTCAGATAGGGTGGCTACGCTCCTAGCCCCTTCCCTTAAATATTGCCATCTGATAGGAGCTAGGAAGTGAGCCTTTTCCATTGCAGACTCTTCCCTCTGAAACACTCTTTTCCCCCTGAAGTTTGGCAGGCCTTTATCCTCCTGGTCATCCGTAAAGGAAGAAAGCTCTAGCTTTTCCACTAAGCACTGAGGTTAATAAGAAGAGAGGACCGCATATCAGAAGCTTGTGTTTAAATAAGGTTTTTGTTTTTACCCATTTGGTTTTAATATGGTTTTTAAGTTGATTATTGATTGGGAGTCAGCCAGGGGTTTGTTATAAAATGGTTACATAAGTATTTAAACAAATCAGAGGAAAAAGATGAATCCCCAAAATGGCTGCCCTTTTGGCTGTCCTTGTGCAAGTTCCTTCAAACATTCTACAAATTTAATTATCAAATTTATTTCCCGCTAATCCTGCCATTTTCTCCAATTTAACTCCTTTCAAGGAGAAAGATTGCCAGATTGGAGAAGGAATAGCACCAGGCAGGAATGTAGTTAGTAAGGCCAGGAGGCCTGGTTAACCTCTGATTTGAACAAAAGCAAGAATCACCTTTTTAGAATTCCCAGACCATCCAAATGCCATCAATCTTGATAGAAGAGTGCTGCATTTGCAGGGCAAGTACATGTTAAATGTGGAGGTTTTGCGTTTTGCAATAAATGGTGTTTCTTGGGTTTTATATTCAAGTTTTATTGCTGTAAACCGTGCAGAGTCACCATTAGTTGGGCTGCCATATACAATTTCATGCTAAGCAAAAATACAGAACAGAACAACAGAGTTGGAAGGGATCTTGGAGGTCTTCTAGTTCAACCCCCTGCTCTAAAGCAAGAGACCTAAACTATTGTTGTATATACATACATACATGTTTATATCCCCCTGTATTATATATAGAAATAAGTCAAGGCGGAAAACATAGTTAACAAAGCTCCAAACTCGCTTTCTCTGGCCCAGCAATGGCAGATCCCGTTAACTCTGTGAAAGGGACCTAGCGTACTGGGCCAAAGAAAGGAAGCTCAGATGAGATTAGAGAAAGGAAAATGAAGGGGGGAGGGGCGGAAGGAAGCAGAGATCAAAGTCTCGTAGGCTAAAACATAAGAACGGTTACAAGAATTCAGCATGGCTAATCTAGTGAAAGACAGGAACCAGGTGTGATACCAGTCTTCCACTATTTGGGAGGCTGTCAAAAAAGGGCGGGGTGGGTGGGTGGGAAACAAACGATTTTCCAAAGCACTCGAAGACCAGAGAAGAAACTGAACGCGCACCAGGGTGGATAAAAATCATTTTTAAAAAATTAAATCGGATTTTTTTTTATTTAAATCAGATTTTTAAAAATTTCCATCAGATTTTTTTTTATTTTTATCCAATTTATTTTAATAAAATGCTTTTGGAGTAAAAATCTATGTAGAGATGGTTTTCTATTTAAGATACATTAATAATTTAGTTTATTTAGCATGAAATGGAGCTTAGTTATGTAGCATAATTCTGCAATATTGGGACTGTCAGTGAGTCAACAGCGGGTCAGAGGAGGAGTTGCTGCGGGACAGAGATGACAGCTGCTCTTTAAAAAATATTTCAATCCAGTTGATATAAATCAAGTCTTTGATTGCTGATTGTACCCAATGACTATCATTAACTGTTGTATGTTATGATTCTTGATTCTTAACGAATATATCTTTTATGTATAGAGTATTTACACCAAGACAAATTTTTTGTGTGTCCAGTCACACTTGGCCAATAAAGTATTCTATTCTATGCTATGCTATGCTATTCCATTCCATTTTTACTAGTGATTTAAATCATTATTTAAACTGTGATCAAATCCACCCTGGTGCACACTGATCAAGGAAAGATTCAAACTAGAAATAAGGAGAATTTTAAGACAGTCAGGACAATCAACCAATGGAACAGCTTGCCTTAAAAAGCTGCGTGAACTTTGTATGAAAACTGTCTGCAATCTGGGCATTTTAATGATTACTCTCCTATGTGTAACCTTACATGCCTTACAAGGCTAGACCTATAACTGAAAATTTTCCCACAATCAGGACATTCATAAGGTTTCCCTCCTGTGTGAGTCTTCTGGTGTCTCTCCAGCTTGGAATTCTGCTGGAAACTTTTCCCACAAACTGGACACTCATATGGTTTCTCTCCTGTGTGAGTCCTCTGGTGTCTCATCAGGTGGGAATTTTGACTGAAACTTTTCCCACAATCCAGACACTGAAATGGTTTTACTCCTGTGTGAGTTCTCTGGTGTATCACAAGTGTAGAACTCTGCTTAAAACCTTTTCCACAATCACTACATTTATACGGTTTCTCTCCTGTGTGAGTCCTCTCGTGTTCCACCAGGCCGGAATTCCGAATAAAACTTTTCCCACAAACAGGACATTTATACGGTTTCTCTCCTGTGTGAGTCCTCTGGTGTTTCACTAGGTAGGAACTCTGACTGAAATGTTTCCCACAATCCAGGCACTGATATGGTTTTTCTCCTGTGTGAGTTCTCTGGTGTATCACCAGGTGGGAATTCCTAATGAAACTTTTCCCACAAAGAGGACATTTATACGGTTTCTCTCCCGAGTGTGACCTGTGGTGTACCACCAGGTTGGAATTTTGACTGAAACTTTTCCCACAAACAGGACATTCAAAGAGTTTCTCCCCAGTGTGAATCCTCTGGTGTTTCACCAGGGAGGAACTCTGACTGAAACTTTTCCCACAATCTAGGCACTGATATGGTTTTTCTCCTGTGTGAGTTCTCTGGTGTCTCACAAGCTTAGAACTCTGCTTGAAACCTCTTCCACAATCACTACATTTATAGAGTTTCTCTCCTGTGTGCGTCATCTGGTGTTCTACCAGGTGGGAATTCTGCCTGAAACTTTTCCCACAAACAGGACATTCAAAGTCATGGCTTCTCTCCTGTATGGGCTCTTCCATGAATCAAGAGGAAGCTTTTCAGAGAAAAGCACTCCAAACATTTATATAGCTTTTCACTGGAGGGATCCTCTCCTGCATAATCAGATGTGATCTTCCATCATCTGTCATCTGCTGAGGAAGAAGTGTTTTTAAACTTTCCAGAGGAATAGGAAAATATTTTGATTGATAGTTTGTTTTACGTTTTAATGCTGCTCCTTATTCTCTGTTGTCCAGCAAGCTCTTCTAGGCATCCTCTCTCTCTGTAAGATTAAAATAAATGGATTAGTTTCATTATTATTGAAAAATGGCTGCAGTTTCATTATTGTTGAAAACTGGCTGCAGGACATGTGAAAAGCAGGAAAAAAAACACCTCATCCCATATATTAGCATGAAAAAGAAACACAAAAATTCCATTTTAATATTAATTATGATTGATTTGGCATATAGAAGATTACCAATATCCAATTTCAAATATCGACTCAATCATAAATTTTTCTTTTTCAATCAATCAGTCAATCAGAATAAAGTTGAAAGAGGCCCTGGAGATCTTCTAGTCCAGCTCCCTCTTCAAGTAGATGTATGTATAACATTACAGGGTAAATTTTTGGCTTCGGTAAACACACTCATGTATACTCGCATATGAACACAGAAACATGTATGAATGTATGCAGACAATCTATGCGTATCTCGGTGTGCAAAATGTCCCAAAGTGCATTCGCTCCAATTCTTTGATCTAAGTTCAGAAAGGGGAGGGGAGGCTAATAGAGGAAACGGTGCCCAACTCCTAGTCGAGCCACAAAGCATCCTCCGCTTTGCCCATGAAGCTCCTCGCTTGCCAGGAAAGCCCCAGGTCAGCCACGTCACAAGGAATCGAGGGACGTGGAAGCTGGTGCTTAAAATGCGGGTTTAAGAAATACGAAATAAATGGTCTTTTTTAAAAATCTCCCAGCAGAAAATCTAAGGCAGGAGTTTTAAGTCCTGCAGCCCCGGAGGAATAAAATTCGGGGAGGGGAAGAATATGCAGCAGCAGCAAACACGTTTTAGCCTTGTTGCTTCATCTCCTGCTTCCCCGCCGTGGAGGAACCCAAAGGGCCCGACTTGCTCCCGGCTTCTCCTCCGACCTGCCCTCCACTCACCTCCCAGGAGCCGCTTCGACCCTCCAAGCGGCACAAGAAGCTCCGCAGACGCCATTATCCTCTCCTGAGTGGGCCGGAAGAGGAAGTTCCCCTACCTTTCGCCTATTTACTCTCTACGTGCACTCTAGCAATCCACTACTCTATCTTTTCAATCCGTTCAATTTCAGCCTTTCCCTCTTCCCTAGAATAGCTCAGTCACCGCTATACCCAGTGTTGTTTCTCTGTAGCGCGCCATCTAGCGACATAAGGCGGAAGAACATGCTCGTTCTTGCCTAAAGGAGTTTGAAGATGTTCCCATTGATTCCAGGCTTCCTTAAGTGTCATTTCGTCCTATTTGACTCCCATCGAGCTCATCGGTAACTTTTCTCCCTGAGGATCCATCCCAAAACGTTTTCTTTCATGTCTCCCAAGAGGCCACTCCTTGCCCCTGGAGCTGAGCCCGAAGCTTCGTTTGCCAGAAGAGGCAACTAAATCAAAGGATTTGGGAGGGGCGCGGGTTGGAAATGACGTGCAAATCGGAAAAGAGACAGTGCAGCTCCCTGGGTTCCAGCCATTTTTTCCTGGTGGCGGGAGAGCGTGAAGGATACCTCCTGAGAACCAGCCTCTGCAAAGCAGCAAACCTGTTAAGAGTGTAGCTTGCTGTCCAACGAGATTGGCAAAAATTTATCCCAACACAAGTCCCAAATGTTGGAAGTGTAAAAAAATTGACAGTACATTTTACCACATGTGGTGATTGTGCCTGAGACCAGGACATACTGGATCCAAATTAAAAACCGGTTACAAGAGATTACTGGGTATCAGATTGAGCTCAGACCAGAAGTATTAAATAGAAACATTAGGAAAGATAAAGAAATAAAGGGAATGAAAATATAAAAGGAGGAATATAAATTGCAGGCATTTGCAGATCTGGTTTTTATACTAGACAAACCACTGGAAACAGCTCCTAAATTGATAGATAGAAGAATATGGACAGGTGGCAGGATTAAAAATAAATAAAGAAAAAACTAAGATTTTAGTTAAGAATATAATGGAAAAACAAAGGAAAGTATTGATCAGATCCAGATCACAAATAAAGTGAAATATTTAGGAATACAAGTGACAGCAAGATAAGGAAGACAATTATCATAAATTAAAACAACAGATTGCAACCGACCCGGAAAAATGGGAAAATCTACAATTATCTTTGACATGGCGAATATCTACAATCAAAATGAATATATTACCAAGGATATTTGTTTCAAACGATTCCAATAAAACTAGGGAAAGAATATTTTGAGGATTTAAAGAAAATGATGTTGAAATATATATGGCAGGGAAAGAAGACAAGAATTAAACTAAAATTATTACAGGATACTAGAATGAGAGGATTGCCTGGTAGTACAATTGGGAATTATACTACCAAGCAGTAATGTTGATGTGGGTGAAAGAATGGATTGTTCTGAGAAATACTAGACTGTTAACATTGGAAGGTCATGATTTACAATTGGGGTGTCATGCATTTTTGTGGTATAAGGAAAGTATAGCGCATGGATATTTTTGGAGGCATTATATTCGAAACGCCCTATTATTAACATGGGAGAAAATAAGGTAACAATTATTTGAAAATACCAGTCTAGTTATCAACAATAGAGGCGTTTGTATATCCAATTATTTTTAAAATGGAACATACTGTTAAATATAGTGAAGTTTTAAATGAAAAGGGTGAACTCAAAACAGCAAGAATTAGATAAACAAGAGATAAATATGAATTGGAAATACCTTCTAGATATGACAAAGATAGTAAGATAGAAAGGTTTTATAAAGAACCAACTGAATTAGATAAAATTTTAACAGGTACTGAAGAGAGGATGATCAAAAAAATTATATAGTTATTTATTAGGAGTGAAATTAGAAGAACAAAAAATTAAAGAAACAATGATTGCACGAGGGGAAATTTTTTGGATATGGTATAGATCTAGAAAAATGGCAGAAATTATGGACTAGAAATTATAAATTAACAATGTCAACAGCTTATAAAGAGAATTTGTGTAAGATGTTTTATAGGTGGCATTTACCCCCAGCAAGAATTGCAAATATGTTCGAGGATAAATTTAGTTTAGTTTACTTTATTGTCATTTCACCTTGTACAGCGAAATCAAACACCATCTTCAGTGCACATCATGACCATGAAAATAAACACAAACACACATCCTTCACCCTTCACACATTGACCCGGAAACCCTCGACACCACACCAACACTGCACCATACAGCAGAATTCAAAAGAGCTACTGCCCTGGGATAGAAGCTGTTTTTCAGCCTATTTGTCCTTGTTTTCAGTGAAGTGTTGGAAACGTCATCAGATACTTGGATCATATTACCATATGTGGTGGACATATGCGGAAGCTAAAAGATACTGGACTAAAATATACAAATGGTTGGAAAAAATGACAAAACAGCATATAGATTTAAAACCAGAGATATTTTTATTGGGAATTTTACCTGAAGGCTGCAATAAAGAATTGACATGTTTGATTATTAATGTTTTAACTGCAGCTAGAATTGTATTTGCTCAGAATTGGAAAAATGAGAAAAGAAAGTGATTAAGAAAACAATGGAATGTGCAGAAATGAGTAGATTAACATTAGCAATTAGAGAGCAAGAAGAAAAAGAGTACTATAAGACATGGGATTTATTTTATCAATGGTTAGACAGAAAAGTAGGAAATTGAAGAATATTATAATAGTAATGATATGTTACAATTGATTATTTCTGAATAAGTTATATCATGAATAAAAATGAGTAAGAACCGAGATTTGCTCTTAAGGGTAATATGGAATTGAAATTAAAAGATTAATGATGGTATAATAATGAAACAATGTGATATGAAAAATCAATTAATACAATATGAATGTCAATTTAAGAGGAAAACACTTTAGATATTGTGCACAAGACATATACCAAACTGACACACTGTATAATTGAAAAGGTTTTATTTGTTGTTTTGTATGCTTGTTGTAAAAAATATTTTTTTTAAAAAGCATACTGGCTTGGTTTTATGCCTTTAACAGCAGAACAACAACATAAGAAAATCATGAGAGGTTTTCCTCTCAGAGCAGTTCAAGGCATTGCTGCAGATAAAAATCACTTATAAGCTTAGTTGAAGAGGACAAATGAAAGGTTGGCAGCCTGGGACTTCAAGTCACTCTCTTCTTGCAATTCCGACTGCCACCCAGAGAAAGGGCTGTGCAGGAGGAAAGACACTGGCCCCTGCTCAGTCTGGCTTCAGGCCGGGGCACATCACCAAAACAGAATTGCAATTCTGATGGACTTTTGGAGGGGTTGGGATAGAAGAGGTAGTCATTATGTCCCTTCTAGACCTCTCATCAGGTTTCAATAACAATGACCATATCCTCCAGTGTCCAGGCTTTGGAGACAGGAAATGGGAGGAGCTTCTTTATGAAGTTCCAGAGAGAGGGAGCCACCATGGAGGAGGCCCTTCTTCTGGGTCCCACCAGGTGTATCTCCCTCAAGGATGGGACCCACAGCAAGAGACGGTCCCTCAGATTACCTGGTTACCAAGCCATGATGGGCTTTAAAGGTGAAAACCAACAGCTTGAATTGCAACCAGAAGGAAATCGGCAACCAATGCAGCTCCCACAGGAGAGGTGAGGTGAAACATTTATATTCCTGGTCTTCTGTAAAACAAGGAAGATCTAGCGGTTCCCCTATTCACTAGCATATAAAGAGACGTCTAAACATCAGAATCTTTATTTGATACCTGGTTTTAATACAGTTTTTAAGTTAATTATTGATTGGGAGCCCGCCAGTGTTTGTTATCATATGGATGGCTACATACTTTAAATCAATCAGAGGAAAAAGAGATGAATCCTCAAAATGGATGCACTTTTGGCTGTCCTTGTGCAAGTTCCTTCAAACATTCTACAAATTTAATTTATCAAATTTATTTCCCGCTAGTCCTGAGGTTAACTTCTCCAATTTAGGAGAAAGATTACCAGTTTGGAGAAGAAATAGCAGCAGGCAGGAATGTAGTTAGTAAGGCCAGCAGGCCTGGTTAACTTCTGATTGGAACAAAAGCAAGAATCACCTTTTTGGAATTCCCAGACCATCGAAATGTCACCAACCTTGGTAGAAGTGTGCTGCATTTGCAGAGAAAGTACATGTTAAATGTGAAGGTTTTGGTTTTGCAATATATGGTGTTTATTGGGGTTTGTATTAAGGGACCTCCTGCACTGGGCCAAAGAAAGGAAATTCAGACCAGATTAGAGAAAGGAAAGAGAAAGAGAAAGGAAGAAAGAGAAAGGAAGCTCAGATGAGATTAGAGAAACAAAAAGGAAGAGCAAAGAGAATCAAATTAGAAACCTGCAGGCTAAAACATAGCCGAGAAGCTAGCTGGAAGCAGAGATCAAATGCTTGTAGGGTAAAACATGAAGAACAGTTACAAGCAGAGAAGAAACTATGAGTGCACACTAGGGTGGATAAAAATCGATTTTAAAAAAACAATTAAAAATTGGATTTTTTTTGTCAGATTTTTTTTATTTACACCAGATTTTTTTTTTTACAAATTTATTTTAATAAAATGCTTTTAGAGTAAAAATCTACCTAAATATAGTTTTCTACTTAAGATACATTAATAACTTAGTTTATTCAGCATGAAATGGAGTTTAGTTATGTAGCATAATTCTGCAATATTGGGACTGTCAGGGTCAACAGCGGGTGAGAGGAGGAGCTGCTGTGGGACAGAGATGACAGCTGCTCTTTAAAAATTATTTCAATTGAGTTAATTTAAATCAAGCCTTTTTACTAGTGATTTAAATCATATCCACCATCACAAAAGGAAGGGGGGGAAAACAATTTTCCAAAGACCCGAAGGCCAGAGAAGAAATTATGGATGCACACTGATCAAGGAAAGATTCAAAAACAGTAAAAAAAATGGAACAACTTTCCTTAAAAAGTTATGTGAACTTTGTTTGAAAATTGTCTGCAATCTGGGTGTTGGATTCCCCTATGTGTAACCTTATATGCTTTATAAGGCTAGACCTATAACGGATTCCGGGCTTCCTTAAGTGC